ATATATACACACACACACACCCAGAAGACGTAAGACATAGACCACAACCAGTCATCTGCACTCCAATGTTTATTGTGGTACAATTCACAATCACAAAGACTTGGAAACAACCTAAATTTCCATCAATAGATGAGTGGATTAGAAAATTCTTGCACATACACACAATGGAGTACAACACATCCCTAAAAAGCACTAATGACTGCATGAAGCATATCGTCTCATGGGAAGAGTTGGAGGAAATTATGCTAAGTGAATTTAGCCAAAGACCAAGGACAAGTACAACATGAGTCCACTGAGGTAAGTATAATAATCACAGTAGGTATAGAAGAAAAGCCACTTATCTCACACTTTATGGGTTGGGGTACAGGCAGTTGGGCAGGAGACATATCAAACCCAAGGATGTATATGGCATTCCAACACAAAGAGGGGAAAGAGGGAGGGGAGGGAGAAAAGAGGTGGGCGAAGGGGGAACACGATGGCAGCAGGAGAATAATCTACCCAGGTGTAGGGTATCATTTATGGCTCCCCAGAAATGGGAGTGTGAGTGCAGATGCCACCACAGTGTGCCAAACCTTGAGGGCAATATTAATCACCTGGAGCAACCCATGAACAGAGAGGTTTACAGGGCTGGCCTGTACCAGAGCCAAACCGAACCCCTCCCTAGAAGTGTGTGCTACAGAGAACTCAAAACGTATAGGTTGGGGAAAAAGGCCTGCCTGCCACATCCACACAGAAGCAAATCAAGAAGGAAAAAGAGAGTGAGGGACTAGACTCCATTACGGGCACACCAAGCCCTCAGGACATCTCTGTACAGAGCTGCTAAGGCACAGAAAGGACTGTACAGCTGACAATAGCTTGAGGCGTGATGCCCCCTCACTGGAGCAGACTGTGAGAGAGGACGATACTGGGGATACATGGTAGGGAGTGAGTCTGTTTGGAACCATCTCACAGTGGGACAGAACAATAAGGGAGCATAAAAGATCAGCAAGAGGAGCAAAGCAAACCCAAAGCCCCTGATAAGCCCCCCAAATAGACTTCAGGCTATGAAGAGCAGTTCCTGGAACCCCTCAGAACTGGTGAGTTTAATAGTCATAAAGGTCAGCAGATGGACCTGTAATTTTATATGCTTTTTTTCAGTTTTTCCCCTTTTTATTCAATGGTTTGTTTTCTTTTTGTTTTGTCTTCGTTACTGTTGTTTTGACTATGTATGTGAGATAGGCATGGGAAGCAAGCCCAGGAGAAAACAATGGGACTATTAGTACTGGAGGGACTTGAGGGGAGGAAGAAGCAGAGAAAAGGAGCCATGAGGAAACAAAGCCACAGACAGGGCAACAATTAGGGAATTAAAAGTCACAATGAGGAGGATGTAGAGATCCCTGTGGTGTTGGAGCAACAGCAATCTGGCTGAGAGGAATTACTAAGAGACAGAAGAAGGGTGAGGGAGATGGTGGGGCAGGAGGAAGGTAAAAGAAAACAGAGGAAAGCTCTAAGAAGCAAAGGTTTGGATAGAGGTATAAACTTATGTGTGCACTTATGTAAATATATTAATTCATAAAATTAGAGGCATTGACCTATGTACATATACTTATATGACAATATATTAAGGAAGTGCATGGATTTTGGGCCTCTGTTCAAGCCCCCCCGCCCCTCAATGCAAGAACACTTTGTTTTAACAACCAGGCATTCTGTGATGCTCACCCTCCCAACAAGATTGCTGAAGACAAAATGGATGCATAAGCAAATGTGGTGAAGAAAGCTGGTGGTGCCTATTATATCAAAAGATATAGCATCTGGGGTCTTAAAGGCTTTAAGTTAAACAAGTAGCCATCTGGCAGAGAAACAACAATCTCACATGGAATAGCACACCAGCCTGTGCAATCATGCGGTGTTGATGGGATCAGGTAACAGACATCAGAAGACCCAAAACGACAACAAAACATATTGTTGCGAATGAGGAGGGTCAGAGCAGAGACCCCAAACTCATCTGTAGGTAATAGGACATCCCTTCACGGAAGGGTCACAACTCATCACAAAAGGGATGAGTCAACCGGACGCAGTATAGCAACGATGAAACACACAATATTCCTTTGGTTCCTTGACGCTTCCTCACCTTCCACTATCTTGACCTTAGTCCTGCCTTTCAGTTCTGGCTAGACCAGTGCATGTACACTGGTACAGATAAAAGCTCACGACTAACAGAATCCAGGTCAGATAAACCCCTCAGGAACAGAAATGGGTGTAGCAATACGAGGAGGAAAGAGGAAGGTGGAGTGGGGGAGGGGAGGAAGGGAGAACCAATACAATAATGGTCGCATAGTGCGAGGTTGGATTAGATTTACCAAACAAGGACATGGCTTCAGAAAGAGTAGATGCTCCTGAATTTCTGCAGTTTTGTCTGGAAGGCAGCTTGAATACCCATGAGCTCATTTAGATGCACAGGAAGACTGTTAAACTACTGTAAATGTATGTTTGACATGCTATTTTGTCTGTATGCTATAATAAGTAGATCTTATGAGTATCTTACACTAAAGTGTGGTTTTGTTTGCGGGCTTGTTTCATTTAGACCTATCTTTTTGCCTGTAGGCTGGATTGGGATTTGCCTTTTGAATTAGTGCTTTTTCAAGTTACTTTGTCTTCCATGGTTTAAAATGTGTCACTTTTAGTTAGTAAAGTATAACATTTTAGGTGATAAACCCCCTGAGGGCACTTAATATAACTTAGTGCAAGGAGCTGGAGAGAAGACAGAATGGCTGATGGTAAGTTTTTGTTTTTTTTTAAAAAGAAGAATAAAGAAAGTAATCCTGTCTTAGGACAGAATGTCTAGTTGTGCCAAAATATGAAAGATAGAGTGATTTGAAGAAAGTGAGTGAAAGTAAACTTTGCTTTGATGTAAAAAGGAAGAGGCAAGAAAAAGATCAATACTTCTGTAGTATTCAGTTATTCCTGCAATAAAGAAAAAAATACGTTTTAGATAGAGCAAAGCTATGAATCGCTGCAAATATTACATGTGTGATTATTTATTTTAGTAGTAAATGCAAATGATCAGGCGTGTTTGGCCAGTGGAAGAAAGTTGAGAGAAGTTCACCAATAAGTCATTCCAACATTTTCTCAATCATACATTTGAGAGACAGCAACAAAAATGTTGGTAACTAAAGTTTAGTTTATCTGAAACTTTTGAACGTGGTATTTTGAGATGCTCCCTTTATTAATTGACTTTGTTTAGTTTACATTTGTTTGTGAGTTCCCCACTTAAGTCTTAAAAATGATATCTATTTACATATATGAATGTGACTTTACCATGGCCATGTCAGGCTTTGTCACTTACAGATGAACTTCTGATTTGTGAATCTACTGAGGTACTTAACCAAAATTTCTGGTGGAAAATAGACTATATGGATTTATTAAAAGGACTAATAGTCTGAGTTGGAGTCCACAAGTCTAAATCAGGATTCCTGGATCTCTGAAAGGTGATGAGATTGTGAATTATAGCTGATACAAAATTTGCCAAGAATATTTAAATATCAAATAGACTGAATGTGTCTATAAATTCTGTATGTGGATATACTGTGGGTATTTTTTTTTTTACACTGTGCAACCTGCTTCAGTACCAGAAGCCTATGGGCTAGGAGACAAGGCAATGGTTAGGGACTACGGTTTGCTCTGGCATGGGACATGATGAGAGACCCATGGGTCTAGGCCTACCATAAATCCAAATCCATGCACTATACTGTGGGTATTTTAAAGGTTTCCTCGGTATTTAACTATTTTCCTCACTTTTCTCAGATTGTTTAATTTTTAAGCTTAAAACATGGTTTTCAGATTGAAAGCTATTTGGGACAGATCTAATAAGTTCATAAAATAATGGTGGCATAAACTGGCAAAGTGAGTTATAGGTTGTAAAATAGACTATCCATCAAATTTCTTACTAAGTTACTTGTTCATATAGAACCTGAAGTTTTATGGATGGTAACTGCTATTAGTATTATTTGAATATAGACATATACTTTGTGATACTTACTGTTTTCTTTGCAAACATTTAGCCTAATATTAGTTTTACTTTTTGGCCTCTGGCTTCCTTAGAAGATAAAATAATCCACGTGAACCATTTTCTTTATAATATTTTTTAAAGTTTTTATTTAAATCTTAACATACCAAAACATTTTCACTTGAAAGCCAATATGAATTTAAATGATAGCCCAGGAAAAGGAGTGGAGTATTTTCTAGGTACAGCAATATACTAGTCAAAGCACTGTAGTCTTTTGAAAGCTTCAGGCTGCTTAAAGAAACGGACACCAAGAAAAGAAAATCAGATTAGTCATTAGAGTTTAGAGCAGGTACAAAGTCCTGTGTGATCTACTTCTGTTAGTAAACAAAATCAAGAAGAGCAGCGTGCCACAGAAGAAGTGCTTAAGTTCGTTTGTACAGGCTCCCAATGAGAGAATCTGCCCTGTATAATGTTACTCACCATACATTTATGACAGAATTTTTCCCTTGCCCTTAGTGATCAAAGACTCATGTGGTAGGCTGCCTAGATCTTAGACTTCCTCTTTTGGGGGCTTGGAGGGCTTATACAACTTTTCCAACAGGTTCCATCAAATGAAAAGGAACTGAAATACTCCTTTGGACTTTGAGCTGCAATGCCCTAGTATGAGAAGAAGCAAAGGACTACTGTCTCTGGGTGTAGACTCTGGAGTTGTCAGATGTTAGTTCAAATTTCTACTGCTTTTAGATAACCCAATGATTGACAACTTGAGACTCCCATATATTTTCCATTTTCAAATTTTCTTTGCTGTCTGTGATATGTCTTTATTCTGCATACAAATGGTTGTGCCTTTTATTTTTTTTGAACTGTGTTCTGCCATTTGTTTCAAATATATACAAGTAAACTTTCATGCATTTTAATCTAAGAAGCTTTACAGGCATTTAAATTCTATACCATTAAATTATATACCATTAGCTAATAGTTTTTAAAAATACCAAATGTATTTGGTATCAAAGTTTATTTACACTATTTCTCAAGCTAATAATGCTGCCTCTAAAGTGAACCACAAATACAGGTAAACCTTAGACATAGGAATTAATCTAAAACTTACACTTGCTCTAAGCTCCAACCTAAGGAGAGTTAGCTCTTATGGTGTGACCCTGCTCAATGCTCAGCACCTCATGCCTTGATCAATGAAGATGTAAGTGCATGGCAAAGTGTGGTGAAAAAATCAAATACTGTTTGGCTACCAGAGAGAAGTGTCTGGGTCTTAAAGGCTTGCCATCAGACAAGCAACCATCTAAATAAAGTGCCCGCTAAGCCCATAGAGAAGCAGCACATCAGCCTGGTGGTCTGAGGAATATTAGTAGCATAATCCATAAATCAGAGGGAAAATTGTATTCTAGTCACATTCTCAGTACTTTAAAGATTATGATAGTAAGGTGTAAGATCCATTGAAAAGTCCTCACATACATTAGGTTCCTATTGAGTTCCTTCTGATAATCAAGCATGAATATTTTCATCATAAACAGATCTCATCAATCTGAAAACTTAAGATGAAAAGTGGAGCATGATAGGGTGTAACCTGAAGAGGCAAACCACTATTATTTCATGATGGAAATACAATGTACTTAAGACAATTAAATTCATTGTTTAGATGTACTGATCTAGAAATCTTCCATAGCTGTGATCCTGTGCTTCACCTCTCTATCTTGTCTCACAGAGCATCCTGTGGTAGTGTCCAGTCCTCCTCCCTCCTCTCACTAAGGGCCAGGACCTGCAAACCTAGCCCAACTCCTTGAAATTATGGTCCCTAGCAATGGACGCTCTGTGACACAGATCTTCCTTAACACAAAACTTTGTTGTCCTAGCTTGTACCTGACATTCCAAGATTTGTATTTGTGTGAAAGAACTCTTTTACTCTGTCTGTATATATGTCCTGTGAGATTAAAGAGACCGAGTGACTGTCATTTGGACTGGCAAAGGATCCTCCCATTCTTCCCCATGCATGTGAAAAGAAAATGTAGCATCTTTTGACTCCACCTGGTTTCTGTAATCTGGCAACGGTGATGGGGCAATGTCTGCCCTCCTGGTGCTCACCTAACATTGGTGTTTGATACTCATGTGCAAATATGCATGGGATAGGGAAATAGAGAAGTCATAGCAACCGAACTATGCAATTTATTACCCACGACATCACAATTAATAATGTTCCCAAAGTGCTGAGTGAAAAGGACTTCTTACCCTAGATGTGAAAGGTGAAGAATTCAAAAAAAGAATGAAAAGAAACAAACTAACCACAAATTCCAAACAAGCTCTAAAAGTGTATTGTTCAGCAAAATACAATCTCAAGGTCACTTATAATTTCATTAACTTTGCAAAAAATTCGAGGCCTTTGATTGGACATATATTCAAGCAATGAAAACATAGTGTGTCTTTTTGAATGATAATGGATGCTCTCCTATATTGTTAAGACTAGGTGTTAACTTGAATACTGGTTTCACAATGATCAATTCATGGGCCTTCATGTTCTGTGACTTAAACCCACCAGCCTCTCTGTAAACGAAGAGACTTGGTGATAATGCATTCATAAGTATTGCAGCTAAAACACACTATGGGGCAGCTCTACTCTGTCCTTTATGTAACTATGAATTACATAGCAACAACAAAAAAATATACTTATTAAGTATATGCCCCTTGAGGCTTTTCCCATGCCCTGAATTGTTCCAGATCCTACAAGTCTATGAAGCCAAGCGAGCCATTCTGACTTCAGGTAAGGAGAGCACTGGAATTTGGTCAGTGCACAAATCATTGCATACCCGAAGTTTACAATTTGACAAGCATTGCTGGAGCAACACTGACAAATTACGATCCACTGCTATAGAGCCAATGTAAGCAATGTTATGAATTGAATTGTGTACTCCAACAAGAAATGTTGAGTCTAGGTCTTTGAACTGGCTTTAAATGGTTCAGTAATAGTTGACATAAATGAGGACAACTTATGCCAAATCTCTTGTGCACTGGATTTTCAGTCCACTGTATACTTTTAGTGTGTGTTGGTTGGTTGCTTGCCATCTTTGAATGGGACATCACTGCCCATTTCCTACCAAAATTGAAGAACCCACTGCTATGCAGAATTTTCACATCTTAGTTACTCAGGAGATGTAAATCTTTATGGAAGTAGATAGCCCCATCTTCCTCCCAAAGAGCAGTTGTTGGGTTTGAATCACTAATTTTGCAGGTAACAGTCCAATGCTTACCCACCACCACCACCAGAGTGCTTTGTTTCCTACTATGGTCAAAATCCAGGGCACAACAGATTTGGTTGGTATGCAATGCATATATAGTCACAGTTTCAATTGGCTAGAATTTAACTATTTAAAAAGAATTCAAAGCTGTTCATTTTATTGTTATTGTTGTTCTTGTTGTTAGGTGCCGTTGGGTCAGTTCAGACCCATACTGACCCTATGCACAACAGAACGAAACACTGCATGGTCCTGGACCATTCTTACAAGTGTTCCTATCCCCACGCCCATTGTTGTAGCCACTGTGTCAATCCATCTTGTTAAGGGCCTTCCTCTTTTTCACTGCCTTTCTATTTTGCCAAGTATGATGCACCTTCTCCAGAAACTGGACAATATGCCCAAAGTGTGTAAGATTAATTCTTGCCATCCTTGCCTCTCAGGCATCTGCATATGTGACTTTGTTTGGAAATTGGTTCTTTAAAGATCTTATGGTCCTAATCCAATTCTAACGGTGTCTTTACAAAGAGAAGATATATAGAGAATCAGAATGCCTGAGTTTATCAGAAGTGAGGATAGACAGGAAATGATATAACTGTAGAAACTTCTGGGGGAACATGAATCAGCCACCAAGTTTGTCATACTACGGTGGTTGGTGTGTTGTTGTCATTCTGGAAGTTTGCCATTGGTATTTCTAATAAAACCAGGGGGTCACCATGTGAACATGTTTCAGTGGAGCTTCCAATTGAAGAACAGACTAGGAAGATGAAATAGTCTATAAACTAATAAGGGATTAACAACTGAAAACATCATAAATAGAAGTTGAACAGTGCTGGAACATATTACTTGAAGATGAACCTTTCAATTTGGAAGATATTCAAAATAACACGCAGAGTAAAGGCGATTTAAATAGTGTTGGTGGAAGCTTTTAGTGATTTTCATTTGTTGATAGGGCATTTCTCAAAATTAAAAGAAACAGCTACAAATAGCAATTACTCACAGGAACATGGAATATACCAAGCATGAATCTCATAAAATTAGAAGATGTCAGAAATTCAATGGAACCAATAAATATAAACATTTTAACCATTAGTGAGTTGAAATGCACTTGTATTGACCATTCTGTGTCCAAAAAGCATATCATTTATGTTGGGACTCACAAATTCAAGAGAAATTGTGTCACTTTCATAGTCACAAAGAATGATTCAAGATCTATGTTGAAATACAATGCATTCTATGATAACAGGATATCTATGTGCCTAAAAGGAAGTTCAGTTAATAGAACTATTATTCAAATTTACACACCAATGATAAAAGCTGATAATGAAGCAATAGAAGAATTCTATCAACTTGTTCAGTATGGAATGGATCAAACATGTAATCAAGATGCATTGATAATCACTGATAATTGGTATGTAAAACTAGAAACAAGGAGGAAGGCTCAGTAGATGGAAAATGTGACCTTGGTGATGGAAAAGAAGGTAGGGATTGAATGAT